TAGTTTAATCTATTTTTAAGTAAACAGGAAAAGGGCACTCCTATTATTCCAGAATAAGCATGTCCAAACTTGGAGTTATTCAGAATAGCTATTCCACTTTAAATCCACAATCTACCTTACTCCGAATTAATTTTCAAGAGTAGATCTTGTCTACATAAAGAAATGAATTCAGATTAAGGTAGGGTGTGAATTTAAAGTGGACTAGTTATTCCTGAATAACTCCATAAGCAAATCAGGAATAGCTATTCTGCTTTAAATTCACAAGCCCTAAAGCCTTTTTACAGTTTGATTTATGTTGCCCGGGAAAGGGTTTTATTAACTTCACCCCAAAGTTTACAGGGGAGTTTGGGGGTGGTCAGGGGTCGGGGTGTGGATAGGGGTCGGGGCGGTCAGAGGGTGGGGAACAGGGGGGTTGAATGGGGGCGCGTCGGGGGCAGTCAGGAAGGAGAGGGGGGTTGGATGGCGCTGCGGGGGGCAGTCGGGACGAGGGAAAGGAGTAGGGGACCCGGAGGGCCGTCAGGGAACGGGGGGGTGGATGGGGCAGGAGTCCTGCGGGGGCATCAGGGGGGAGAAGCAGGGGGGTCAGATAGGGGGTGGGGCCGGGCCACACCTGGGTGTTTGGGGAGGCACAGACTCCCCTAACTGGCCCTCCATACAATTTCAGAAACCCGATGTGGCCCTCAGGCCAAAAAGTTTGCCCACCCCTGGTCTAGAGGCAGCATCTGAGATCAGCATCAGGCCTGAGGGGGGCAGGGACAGAGGTAGCTGGGGTAGGATTGGGGGATGGAGGGAGGAAAGGCAGAGAGCTGAGCAGAGGGTAGGATGGGGCAGGTGCAAGAGGAGCTGGGGTGGGAGTAGGATTGAGGGGGTGGGAGCAGTAGGAGTTAAGGGAATGGATGGGGATCAAAGGAGCTGGTGTAGAGGGCAGAAGGAGCTGGGACAGGGAATAGGTATGGGGATGGGGTAGCATGGGAGGTTAGGGCCAGTAGAAGCTGGGGCAAGTTGTGGGGGTGGAACAGTGTGTTTTATCTCTTCCCCCAACTCCTATCCTGTCTGTCTGTCTATTTAGATTGTAAAATCTTTGGGGAAGGGATTATCTACTACTTTGTATTTGTTCAGTGCCTAGCACAAGAGGGTCCCATTCTTGGTTGGCCCTTAGGTACTACCATAATAAATATGATTAATAATCATTAATCAGAGCCTCATTGTAGGAGGCATCATACAGACACATACCAAGAGATAGTCCCTGCTTTGAAGAGTTTATAATTTAAATCAACAACAATGACAAATGGTAGGAGGAAAAATGATCAACTACCTCAATGTAATTACACTCCTGCAAATTCTACTGGAGCCAGGACCAGAGGCCCAAATTCTGTAAACAAATATGAGCTTAACTTTAACCACAGGAATAATTAAGTGCTTGCAAGATTGGGGAAGGGGAGTCACTCTTTCCCCCAGTTTCCCATTTGTAAAATGAAAATAATGTTACCTTTTTTTTTTAGGAGATATCCTATCTCCTAGAACTGGAGTCCAGCCCCCTGCTTTCACTAGCAGGACCAAGTACTGATTTTGCCCCAGATCGCTAAGTGGCCCCCTCAAGGATTCAACTCACAACCCTGGGTTTAAAAGGCCAATGCTCAAACCACTGAGCTATCCCTCCCCTTCCTTTTCCCCCTCTTTTCTATTTTGTTAGTTTGGACGGAAAGCTCTTCAGGACAGGGACGGTGTCCTACTATTTGTCCAGTATCTAGCACAGAGTACTGTGCAGCTAGGACTTCCAGTCAATGGGACTACACAGGTGCTTAATGTTAAACACCTGTCTAAATATTTGGGCCTAAGTTACTTACCAAGGCCATCCAGGGAGTCTGTGGTAGAGCCAGAAACTGAGCCAAGAGCTAAGTCTTGATCTAGTGCCTTAACTATTCATGTCATTTTCAGTATTTCCATTTAAAGTTATGAGTGACTTTCTGTTAGTACAGATGCTCTTTCATCATATGTTTACAGGAAGAAGAAAAAAGTTGGTAGTGGGAATAAAACCCAGAAATGTGTACACAGCAAAGTATTCAGCTGTGCACACAAATTCCATGTACAATTGAGTTATTGGCCCAAACTCCCTAGTGCCTAGCCATTAGAGGAAGGAACTGCATAGAGTCATCTTGCTTCTGGCAAGTATCTATAATAAATTAATAACACATTATTTGCTCCTATACAGGGCTCTTCCATATGAGGATCTCATAGTGATTACAAATGCCTATGAATTTTGCCTCACAACATCCCTTGTGACTAAGGTGAGTTTATAATATACTACTTCTAAAATGTGTATAAAACAACCAATTTTATTTTTATTTGTATATTTTGGAGGCAGAATATGGCATATCTACCTTTCCCCCAATAAGATCCTATATCCCTCTTTATTCTCTACATTTTGGTGCTCTGATATCACTAATATACAGGAACGGTGGTGGTAATCCAGAACAGGAGCTCCTCCATCTGCATTGATTTCAGCATGTGGAGCCTGCTAAAGCATCAAATCCTATGAAGTTGTTACTAGCAGTGCCCAGAGCACATTGAAGGAATGACAGGCTTTGGCCTGTAGTCACCAAAAGGTGACTTATGCGCTGGCCTGTAAATATAACTATGATTTTACTCCAAAGTTTCTGTATCCTAAGTGTATGTAAATTCCATGGAACTATACAGCCAGCCTCCCAAGTATTCTGCAGTTCCTGCACTGCAGAACTGTGAAGCAGATTCTGTTTACAATTTTAAACAAAACAATGTTTCTAGTCCTTAGGGTTGTGAAGATACAGTTTGTAACTGAGGCAGACATCCGAAGAAGTGGGTTGTAGCCCACGAAAGCTTATGCTCTAATAAATTTGTTAGTCTCTAAGGTGCCACAAGTACTCCTGTTCTTTTTGCGGATACAGACTAACACGGCTGCTACTCTGAAACAAATCTACTCTGCAGTTCAAGTAGATAGAATAGAATAGAATAGGTTTGGTCTGCATTGGTTTCTGTAACATCTGCTAAACAAGCCGACAACGACACCTTTCAATCACTGCTGGCCTTGATCCTTCTTGAGCAGTGTGTATTCCATTCCCAAACCCTTTCCCCTCCAGCAAACGGTTCGATGGAATGGTTTCTCTTTGTGGAGCCTGTCGTTAAACTACTCACTTGCTAATGGTTTGGGTCCTTTGAGGTAGATTAAGGACTAAATTAATGGGTTAAATTACTTTATTTTATAAGAAATACACAAAACTGCTTGCATGTTATCATTTGAAACACAGGCATGGGAAGAAATCTAAAGAAGCCAAAGTAATTAGTACATTTGCTTCTAGAGAAGAAGACGACGACCAAAAAACAAACAAAACCAAAACCAAAACCCCCACAAACAAACGAATGCACAATCCCCTTGGTCATCATGGGTACTTGGCACCTGAACTCTAAGGTTCTGGGCACTGCAGCCAGTCATAACACTGCATATGTTTAACATTATCCAGTGATTTCCTCTTTCACCCTTGCCAGCTATTTGGTGGAGAGGAGTTGACAAAGAGTTGCATACTTTATCGGGGGGAAAAGTGTTGCGCTTACTTGCCAGATGGACTTAATTAACCTAAAGCATGATTCATTCATTCATTCATTCATTCAATATTAATTTATTTGCCGAGAGCTGTCCAAACAGACTTCCTTATCTCAATAAGAATCTCTCACAATCTAATGTTTAAGGACACTTGATGTTTTCGGAGAATATTGATATATTTAATTTTAACACATTTAAAAAACAAAAATATTTCATAAAGAGACAATTAAAAGGCAATTTAAAAACAAACTTATTTCAGAAATCGGTATAATTTTAATGTCACTTACACACATTTCGATATAAAACACAACCAGGGACACGTTTCACGTTAAATAAACTGAGTGTTGCTTAGTTTTTAATATTAGTAAACCAAACATGAAGCAGGTGATTTGTCAAGCTAAGACATAGACGAGAGTCCATGTATGAGATGATCTCCAGGGCCAATACAAACAATCCATACAAAAGATCTCTCGTTATGCATTCCATTATACATCCACCTCCCGTGTCTCCATAGTTAAGGTTACAGCTAAGTATCGTTAGTCTCTAAGGTGCCACAAGTACTCCTGTTCTTTTAGCTAAGTATCGGTTTATAATTTGCTCACATGGACGATTTCTTGACCGAATAATTCCCCCCACCCTGAATCCTGGAAAAATCCGTCCCCGCCCGGCGCTGTCTGTCTTGTAACCTGCACAGGTAAAGAGTAGCGGGAAGGGGCGGGGCTGGGACTCTTCCATTCCCCGCTCGGAGCGTTGAGCCCCCCGTCACCTTCCCAGCCGAGACCCCGCCCCCGCCCCGCCATTGGCCGCGGCTCTGGGTAAATAGGGCCGCGCTCTGACAGCTGCCAGCAGTGAGCCTGTTGCCCCCCCGCCCCTACTAGAGACCCCGCTTCAATCAGCGGCGTCCTGCGCCCAGCCTGCCAGGGGAGCTGTCCCTGCTGCCCCAGCCGAGCCAGGGGAGAGGGGGCTGGTCGGAGCAGACGGTCCTTTTCCTCCCAGCTGTTGCCCGGGGAGGGGTCGGAGGCGGGTCCGGTTCAGCCCGGCTCCTCCCGGTGGCTCCGGCTGCCCCGAGATGAGCAGCCCCGATGCGGGCTACGCCAGCAGCGACGACCAGACGCAGGCAAGGTGCTCGCTCCCCATCATGATGCCGGCCTTGGGCCCCTGCCAGTGGGCAGAGTCCCTGAGCCCCCTCGCAGACGCCAAGGTGAAGAGTGAGGCGGCCCCGGCGGGGGCTGCGAGCAGCCGGGCCAAAAGCGAGTCTCGCATCCGCCGGCCCATGAACGCCTTCATGGTGTGGGCCAAGGACGAGCGCAAGCGGCTGGCGCAGCAGAACCCGGACCTGCACAACGCGGAGCTCAGCAAGATGCTGGGTGAGTGTCCGCTCGCGAGCCGGGCCAGGGGGGCTTTCTCCTCCCACCTGCCCCGGCCCGGCCCGGAGCTGGGAAGTGGAGGAGGCTCCCCGCACTCTGCGAGCGGCGTGCAGGGAAAGTTACCGAGTGCTGCTGGTACCTGCCCCGCGGGCGAGGCGGCTGCGGGGCCCGGACTGGACCCGGGGTTGGTGCGCTGGGGCAGAGGGTATGGCAGGAGTTGCCAATGCCTCTCGCCTAGGGACTGGGTTAGCGAGGGGAGCTTGGGGGTGGGGGGAATGGAGGCTGCCGGGTGGGGGGCGCCCGGGTTGGGTACGGGGGGATGGAGGCGGCCGGGCGTTGGGGGGCCGCACTGGGGGTATGGAGGCGGCCGGGTGCCGGAGGGGCGCCCAGGGTGGGGGAAGGGGTGGACACGGCCGGGAGTTGGGTGGGGGGCGTATTGAGGGGGGATGGAGGCGGCTGGGGTCCGGAGCAGGGAGGGGCGCCCAAGGTCGGTAGGGGGGGAATGGAGGCGGCCAGGTGATGGGTGGGGGGCGCCCGGGGTGGGTAGCGGGGATGGAGGCGGCCCGGTGCTGGGTGGGGGCGCACGGAGCGGGGCGCACGGGGAGGCGCACGGAAGAGCCGCAGGGTTACGCGGTTTGTTGCCCCGCAGGGAAGGCCTGGAAGGCGCTGTCGCTGGCGGAGAAGCGGCCGTTCGTGGAGGAGGCGGAGCGGCTGCGGGTGCAGCACATGCAGGACCATCCCAACTACAAGTACCGGCCGCGCCGGCGGAAGCAGGTGAAGCGCCTGAAGCGCGTGGAAAGCGGCTTCCTGCCCCACGGGCTGGCGGAGGCGCCGGGCGCCGGGCTGGCCAGCGAGGGCAGCAGGATGTGCGTGGAGAGCCTGGCCCTGTCCTACCCGGAGCAGGGCTACCCCGCCGTGCAGAGCGCGCTGCCCCCGGCGCTGGGCCACTACCGGGACTGCCAGCCCCTGGCTGCCGCCTTCGACGGCTACAACCTGCCGACCCCGGACCCCTCCCCGCTGGACGCGGCGGAGACCGAGCCGGGCTTTTTCACGCCGCCCCTGCAGGACGAGTGTCAGCTGGCGCCCTACGGCTACCCCGCGGCCGAGTACCCCGCGCACGGGGCCGAGAGCCAGGCCAGCGCCGCGCTCCGCAGGCACCTGCCCCGCGCCGAGCCGCTGGGGCAGCTCAGCTCCCTGCAGAGCCTGCTGGGCTGCCAGGGCCCCCTGCACGCCTACTACGGGCAGCTGTGCCCGCCCGCCGGCCCGGCCCGCGCTCCCCAGCTCCCACCGCAGCCCTGCCAGCCCTCGCCGCCGCCCGAGGCGCCGCAGTGCAGGGAGTCGCTGGAGCACCTGTCGCAGGACGAGCTGCTGGGCGACGTGGATCGCACCGAATTCGAGCAGTACCTGCACTTCGCTTGCAAGCCCGAGCTAGGGCTCCACTTCCAGGGCCACGAAGCCGGCCTGCCCGCCCCAGAGGCCCACGGGCCCATCTCCTCGGTGGTTTCGGATGCAAGTACTGCTGTGTATTACTGCACTTACCCAGACGCCTAAGAGACACTGTCACTCCCAGCGCTCTCGCTGTGTGAAGTAGCTGGGAGTGTGTGGCGGACTCCCTGGTGATGGGAAGCCTTGTACAGAAGGGTGTGTGCTTTGCTCCTATTTATGTAATTTATTGGAATCTTGAGAACTGACAAGTGACAGAGACCCACTCAAGGTTTGAAAGACAGCTCTCCATCTGATCCCCAAGTGGTGCAATTCTAGTGTTTCACCCTGAACTGAAAATTAAAACTATTTAAACTTCAGATAGCTGCACAGTTGGACTGTAACTTATCAGCTCCTGGAAGAGTTCACGATGCTGTTTAAAATGTTGTGACTGTTCAGTTTTATACATATGGAATTTGGGTTTTGTACAGACTAATTTTGCACTTTTACAAATAAAGGGAAAAATAATAAAATTTTTCATTTTTATATCCCTTACATCTACGATTAGAATTATTTTAATGTATTTGATAGTTACTGAATTGTACCCTTTAGTAGCTAACTACTTAGATAAATGTCCTGTTTTCATTCAAAGCCTTTACAGTAAAGAGAACTTCATTATACTTAAATATAAGTAATCGGAGGTAATGTCAAACGATTTTTTTATTATTTTTATAATTTTTTTTTAATCTGGGTTTTATCTCAGTTAAATGGCAGAAGGAAATGATAAATATCTCTCCCCTCAAAATATTGTTTATTAGAAAATTCAGATACTGATAGTTTTTTTTAGGGATTTGGTTTGGAGAGGCTAATAGTCTAACTGAACTTAAAATTTTTAATAGAACCTGCTTTATCTGTATGCTTATAATAAAATTAAAGTTAAAGGGGAAAGGAAATATTACACCAAAATATTTAAGCTCTTTGTCGTGCATCTAATGAATCGTCCAGACGTTTGAATTCATTGGGAACAGGGCACTTTTAAAGAACGATCAACCAACAAATGCAACTAGCTCATGTAGAAATAATGTAGTCTGCGACTGAACGCCTGTCTTCAGTGTATGTGGAAGAGGATTCACTTATGGGAAAAGACTGAGGGGAGTCAATGTCCCCTCAAGCATAAATCTGACATTGTATTTTAGTTAACACACTGTAACACACGTGCAAATCGGGGGCTTCTAGAGTTCAATTTTCCATAGCTGATTCCCAGATATTCAGGAAGCTGTTATTTTTGCAACCTAGCATTCCATTAATAAATCAAAATAGGTATTTAGACGTCAGTGTTCTTACTGGTAAGCATTACTCCTTCATTTAGGTCTGACCTTGCAAATATGTCAGCGCCACTTCAGATAGAAAAACCTTTCGGTGCGGTCATTCCAGTGTTACTGTTAAAAACACATGCATAATTATAAGGGATTAAAATGTTTAATTTCAGAAAACGTTTTCAACTAAGACGAACTAGGGGTGAATCAAGTGGTGACATTGGATTTATAAATTCGTATTCAGTTTTATAATAGGCTTCTGCTTCCTTTATCCTAAGTAACACTTCACTCCCAGTGAAATCAATGACACTATTTGAAGTATTTTACTGCCCGAGGCATGAGTGGCAGAATAGAGCCCTTGGAGATGGGGTGAGAGGGAAGGTCTAGCTATCCTATGATTCACCTGACTTTTATCTGGACAGTGAAATGAAATAGTGTCCTTTACCTGAAAACTGATGCAGACAGCGCCTGATCCATGAATGTTGGATCAGGCCCTAACGCAGTTATGTGGTATTAAGTCTGAAATGTAGCATATGACTTCATTATAGTAGCAACTTTTGAATTAGAACACAAAGCTCACTTTCTTTGTACAATGTTCTACTCTCAAGATTCCTAAAATAGTCGGTATCATTCCCTGTTGCTCTTTTCACTGTACAGTGGTGGTGTGACTGTGTGCTGTGTACTCCACACCATTCTGTGTCTCCTCACTCAGGTTAGCTGAGAGCAGATCTCTTGTGTTTGGAATTCTACAGATAATTTTGCCCTAATATATGCAAAAATATGACATCGGGCATAGGGTTTGCCTAGGAGTAATGATACAATTCATTAGGGAGAGGCCCTTTCAAACAAATTAATTAGGACCAGATTTCAAATGTTACTATATCTTTGCTTGCCTACATTTTTTGCACCTGGAAATTACAGGCACAATTTAGATAATTTATACTTCTAAACACTTGATTGTGTGGGCAGTTGGATGTAAATATTCTAAATTGCCTATGTTTCTGCAAAATCTCTGCTAGGCACCAATCAGTGTGGTATTTGAGGGAAAGGAAAAATACTTCTCTTAAAAGATGCATTACTTTACTTTTCATTGCTTTTCGTTACAATACAGTGGCACTCTGCTTTACTCTAAAAATTAGAGCCCCATGTCTAGAGGATGGCCCTGTGTGAAAAGGGTCATGACTTGACCAAAAATGGTAAAATTTTCAAAGCATGTCAAATTATTCCTATGCTGCCTTTTGGAAAAGGTGCATTCAGACTTTTTTTTTGCTCCATTTGTGTACGTGCAAAATAGTAGCAGATCTGTTTTATCATTCGACTTCAGAAGGATATTAATGTCCCTTAGCTGATATTAAGTGTGTGTGAGGGGGATTATTTATTCCAGTTTTTGATGTGACTATATTGAATGAGCTATGTGGACCTTGCAATTTTAACCAAATATCGTTGAATGTTTTCTGTCAGGTAAAGAAATTAGCAGGAAGTCCATTTTGGACTGGCTATCTAGAGCAAGCCGCGGACATGTTATTCGCAAGTAGCTAGGGATAATACAAGGTTGAAGCCCAAGCTGGGGTTGGTAGAATCATGGCTGTTGCGATCAGCCCAGCAGCTCTCCAAGCAGATCCCGGAGCAGAATTCGGTATAAATTAGGATGCCCTGATCCCATGCAGAGATCCCTTAAAACGTCAGCATAAAAATGTATCTGTAATAGAGCTTTTAACCTGCACATATATTTCAGCGACTCGGACAAATTCAGTAAAAACAGTCAAATTCCCCGCAATCTCAATGAGAAAATCAGATGATCATGTCTGATCAAAAATAACGTTTAGAGAAATGTTCCTAAGTACAGATATACATGATACCCACTCAATTATACTGGGAAAGTACCGTGGTGGTATTTTGTTTGTTTGAATTACCGTGCCTTTAATAATGCAGGCCACAGCTAGGGATGGAAAATAGTTTCAATTAATCGTCACCCGTCCTTTTTGGCAGAAATTGTCCTGGTTCTTCCCTGGGTCTGAAATTCCTTGGAAATAAATAGGTGACGTTGTGGTTTTTGGGTCGGAGCAACATCTCTAGCTGTTTTTGAGGTATGGGTTGAATCCCTTTCCTTGTCTCCACCCCCTCCGTAAAATTGCCAGCCCCTTTTCACATAGTTAAAAAAATGGGTGAACTTTGAAATTTGTCATGTACATAAATTATGTACATGACCAAATATGAAAAAAGTTTACATAACAATCAGAGCTGGGAATAATTACCGGTGAGTGTTATTTGATAAATTTAGCCTTTTTTTTCTGATGGAGGTGTAGGTGGGGGGGGGGGGGTAACTATACAAACAGTTTATGAACATGTTTATTCACTAATCAAACATTTGACAGATTGCGTCTATTAATATTTTTTGGTATGTAGATAGTTTCTCAACAGTTCGATTAGAGTATTTGGCATCTGAAATTTGGGACGTGTTTTTTAATTTGATTTGATACATGGTTTAGTTGATATAGTTCCTCTTCCCTGTTTGAGTAAGTATCGGGTTTCTGGCGCCCAATATTCCCTTTTAGGAGTTCAAAATTGACTCTGAATATTTGGTCAAGTTAATTTAAAATGTAGCATGTTTGAGAACTGCCCCAGCACTCCGGGTAACATTTCTAACAGTTCCTGCGCCTTGACTTTCAGAAAATTAGACTTAAATTAGGCTCCTAAATCACGTAGCCACTTTTGACAATGTTACACAATGTTCTCTAGGATATTTATGGAAAGTGACTATAGAAAGCCCAGGAAAACAGCCCAAGTGAATTTAGTTCTGACTGGTAAGAATGTTCGTGGACAATTTGTTGAAAGATCTTAACATTTAACCACTTACGCATTTGTTATCATGCTTTGAAGGCGTTTGTGACAGATTTGTAACATACTAAGACAAGTCCTGCTTTAGTTCAAGTTCTCTGGGTCCATCCTGTCAGATACCAGATCTGCTGCTGACGGGGGAGCAATTTACATAAAGAATATGTTAAATGTTTTCTTGACGCATACACAGTCTTCTGCTCATCCTTACCATCCCCCCTTCTCCTAACCAAAAACAAACAAAGGCCTCTCTACTGTCTTAACAGCAGGATTAGAAGCAAGTCCTGGCCCGGGAAAAAAGATCTTGCGATTTGAAGTTTTCATATTTTCACTTGCAAAGATACAGCAATCAGCTTAACCTAACCTTAAAGTCTCCAGCTAAACAATAGCATTAGCAAGTCAGTTTCTTAAATCCATTTATTCAAACGAAGTATGAACTCTGTCGTAGGATTTCGAAACTTAATTAAGATCACTTAAACTCCAAGGTTATTAAGATTGGGGTTCCTCCTATTTAAAAATCCCACACCAGGTAATGACTCATCTATACAAAACTACCTTGTTGAGGTTCCCAAGCACAGCACGCTAGTTCTGTGACACAGTAAAGCACATACCGTGTTGTGTAGTTGAGTGCATGTGAGCCTTGACATTTTTTACATTTTCCCAGTTAGAGCTAGTGTACTCCCAGTTCTGCACAGATTTTAGTAAATCGGTAGAAAAAAACCAATGATTTAGGGCTTGTCTATATAGGAAGGTTTATGGGGTATAATCTAAGGTGTGAATTTAAACCAATATAGTATCAGAGGGGTAGCCGTGTTAGTCTGAATCTGTAAAAAGCAACAGAGGGTCCTGTGGCACCTTTAAGAGAAGTATTGGGAGCATGCTCCCAATACTTCTGTTAGTCTTAAAGGTGCCACAGGACCCTCTGTTGCCTTAAACCAATATAGTTATACCGGCTAGTCCCTTGTGTGAACACTCTTA